AATAAGAATCTATGAGTCCTTATCGATGTGAAATAAATGAATGAAAGTGACGATGGTAAGAAACCTCATCCTCTCAAAGTGCTGGGATTACAAGTGTGAGCCACTATGCTCAGTCGAGAAAAACTTTTTTTTTGAGATGGAGTCTTGCTCTGTCGCCCAGGCTGGAGTGCAGTAGTAGGATCCTGGTTCACTGCAGCCTCCGCCTCCCGGGTTCAAGCAATTGTCGTGCCTCAGCCCTGCTACTTGCTGGGACTACAGGAACGTGCCACCATGCCTGGCTACTTTTTGTATTTTTAGTAGAGACAGGGCTTCCCCTCCATGTTGGCCAGGATGGTCTTGAACTCCCGACCTCAAGTGATCCACCCGCCTCGGCCTCCCAAAGTGCTGGGATTACAGGTGTGAGCCACCGCACCCAGCTGAGAAAAACATTCTTTATAATAAAATGCTAGCTAATAAAGGTAGAAGAAATGATGGAATTAGCAAATTACCTCATGGCAACCATCAGAGTAACAAATAATTCTGGCAACAGATGTGAAAAATAAAAAGTAGGCTGGGCGCAATGGCTCACACCTGTAATCCCAGCACTTTGGGAGGAAGAGGCAGGTGGATCACAAGGTCAGGAGATCAAGACCACCCTGGCTAACATGGTGAAACCCCATCTCTACTAAAAATACAAAAAATTAGCTAGGCGTGGTGGCGGGTGCCTGTAGTCCCAGCTACTCGGGAGGCTGAGGCAGGAGAATGGCGTGAACCCGGGAGGCGGAGCTTGCAGTGAGCTGAGATGACACCACTGCACTCCAGCATAGGCGACAGACCCAGACTCAGTCTCAAAAAAACAGAAAAAGAAAAAGAAAAGGTGAAAAGTGGTAAGAACAGGGTATTTACCATCTCAATCAGTAAATTCGTTATAAAGGGAAAAATAGTAAAATAGTAACATTACAGGGAAGAAATCTGCAAGACCACTTTAATAAGTGATCAAAGCTAACACCACAAGAAAAAGGATAAATTAACATCATGTGTCTCCTAATGTAATGAAGTAGGAAAGACAAAATTATTTCTGCAGTATTTCTGCTCAAAAATGTATACAACGATGAGGAAAACCCAGACATCTATATTGAAAGACATTCTACAAAAAATATCCTCCCTAATCTCTTCAAAAATCCAACAGTCCAACCTGGGCAACACAGTGAGACTCTGTCTCTACAAGAAAATAAAAATAAAAATTAGCCGGGTATGATGGCGAGTGCCTGAAGTCCCAGCTACCTAGGAGGCTGAGGTACAAGGATCACTTGAGCCCTGGAGGTTGAGGTTGCAGTTAGCTGTGATTGCATCTCTGCACTTCAGCCTGGACAACAGAATAAGTCCCTGTCACAAAAAAAAAAAAAAAAAAGTTATGAAAGACACAGAATAAAGAAATGTTCTGAATTAAATGACTCGAAAGAGACATGACAAATAAATTAGCCTGATACTTGTTTGGATCTTTACCAGAAAAAAATTCTGTCATAAAAGACATTATTTTCACAACTGGCACTTTGGGAGGCTGAGGTGGGAGGATCACTTGAGCCCAGGAGTTTGAGACTAGCCTGGTTGAAACAGCAAGACTCCATCTCCACAAAAAATGGAGAAAAAAAAAAAAAGCCAGATGTAGTGTTGCTTGCCTACAGTCTAGCTACTTTGGAGGCTAAGGCAGGAGGATCATTTGAGCCCAAGGTCAATGCTACAATGAGCTATGATCATGCCACTGCACTCTAGCCTCGATGACAGAGAAAGACTATCTCGAAAAACAAAAAGTCTATGGATTAAAGGACTGTATAGATGTTAATTTCCTAACTTTGATAATTAAACTGTATTTAGTAAGAATGTCCTTGTTCTTAGTAAATACACAATGATTAATTTAGACATAAAGGGACATCATATCTGCAACTTACTCAAGTGGTTTGGGGGTGGGGGAAAATAAATATACATACACACGCATACACAAATATAGGTAGTGTATATATTATATATGTATATACATACATACACATAAATACTCAGATGATAAAGTAAATATGGCATGATGCTAATAGGGAAATCTGAATAAGAGATACATAGAAGTTCTTTGTACTACTCTTGGAATTTAATTTCAGACAAAATTTAATTTCAAAGTTTAAATTATTACTAAAACACCATAAACTTTAGAATATAAGTAAATATATTTATGACCTTATATCACAAAGGATTTCTTAAATAAGACACACAAAAAAACACAAATACAAAGGAAATACAAAATAAACTTGACTACATATATCATTATCAATAAATCAACGAGCCAAAACTAGGAGAAACTATTTGCAACCCATATAACAAACTAGTATCTGGAATACATAATGAATTCGTACAAGTAAGAAAAAAAGGAGAAATAAAACACAAAAATAGACAAAAGAATTGCACAGGGATGGGAGTGAGAGGTAAAAGACTACACCCTGGGTACTGTGTATGGTGCTTGGGTGTACCAAACACCAAATCTTTGCTTGCACCAAAATCTCAGAAATCACCACTAAAGAACTTATTCGTGAAATAAATAAATAAACAGAAAATTTACCACAGGATGAATAATAAACAAAATATGTTCAACCTCATTAGTAATTAGGAAAATGCAATTGAAAACTGTGTTAAGATATCATTACAAATACACTAAAATAAAAAAAAAAAATTTAACCTCACTCCTTCCAGTAGGAGATGACTTAAAAAAATTTTCTTCATCTCACAATGCAGTTACAAACTGGTGCAATCACTTTGAAAACTGGCATTATGTAATAAAACTGAAGAAATATGTTATCTATGACCCAACAATTCCTTTCCTATGTACTTCTTAAAGAAAACTCTTGTCCAGCAGGAAAGAATGTTCATAGTAGCATCAAACTAAAACAAAATATTTATCAATAATAAAATGGATAAACAAACCATAATATATTATTCTTCCAATGCAATGGGATACTATAGACTTGACGGTACTAAGAATGAACGAACGATAGCCACATGTATGAATACGGATGAATCACCAAAGCCATACAGGGCAAATAAAATAAAGTCACAAAAGAAAACCAGCATGAGTCCATTTATGTAAAGTTCTAAATACAGTTTTAAAATTTTTTAATGCTTTAAAGTACTGAATGCTTTAAAAAAAAATTTAAGTTGCATTTAGGGATATATAATGAGTAGTAAAAAAACAACAGGAAAACAGAAAAGCAAGAGAATAATTATCAAATTTGGGACTGTGGTTATCTTGGGCAAAGGAGAGTGAACAAAATTGATGAAGAAAGGTACACAGTGTGCTTCTTCAGTATGTATAAATACTTTATTTCTTAATCTGGGTGGTAATCACATGGGTGTGTATATACTTACGTGTTTTATAAGCTTTTCTATGAGTATAACAAATGTCACTAAAAGCAAGAACACAGTGCTTATGACTCAGCCCTAGAAACTGTAAAGGGCAACCTTTAAAAGAGAAAGAACAGCCAGTGAAGTAGGAAGAAAGTAAGGAGAGTGGTGTTTCAGAAGCCAAGAAAAAAAGAAGGGAATAGTGAAACTGTATCAAATATTAGTGAGAGGCAAAGTAGAGAAACTTTCACATAATATATAAAGTGCATTGTTCTCTCTCTGATGAATCACTTTTTTAGGATATAGACATTATTTTGCAGTGACTAAGGATTTATTAATAACATTAATGAGAAAGGATATGAACATTCTGATATTTTATATTTAGAAATCAAAATTCTTAACATATTTTAAAAATGTCCTCCTCCCATAATAAAGAACATTAATTGCACCAAGAGTATATAATCAATTATTAGAGTAAGTGAATTCTTACATTTGACAGCTGAGTTTTAGTAAACTTTAATTTGCCCCAGTATTTTTTTTGCCCCAAATATTTCTATCATTTGTTATTAAAATGGTAATGACAAAGACCTTTGTCACTGCCAAATCAGGTAAGTAAGTTAGGGGCTGGTAACAAATATAAAACACAAAACTATGGTCAAAGAAGCCAAAACAGACCTTTTAACAATATAAGAAAGATGCACTGAATCATTCCCTTGGCTTTTTAAATTAAAAATAACAAAAAAGTTTTTACTTGAAAGTAATGAACTATTTTCTAGAAAAGTTTGGACAATCATTTGGTTGTCTTAATTTTATAATTTGATTGTCTTAATTCTTTTAATTTTCTCACCTATAAAGCATGAACTAAATACTACTTAAAGTCCCAATTAGCAATATTTCATGGTGTTATTTGGTAAAGGAAAAATCAATCACAAAAGGTAGTAATACTTTATCTAAATAATAAACCACTCTTTTGAGAACTGTGAAACCAAAAGTAGCACATACTAACCTAATAAGATATTCAAGACTGGGTCATCCATTGCTTTCTCCTTAAGAGGTTTACTTTAAATAAAAGAAGGAGGCTCTTCAAAGCTACAATTTGCAGAGACAGTTCAGAAGGCTGCATTTTTACTAATGCAAAATGCAACTTCACACAAGCTTAAGATACAGCTGGAAGTTCTAAAGTTTAAGAAACAAAACAAAATAAATCCTCTTCTTTGAATAAAAGAAGATCCTACTATTAATTTAGGCTTGATATAAAATATCACTACTTAACAAGGGAGAAGTATTTTCCTCAACAGCATATATGGCAAAATTATTTTGGCTATAAACTAGTATATTTAAATTAATAAGACTACTAATTTGAAGCAAACGGTCTCTGGCTTTTAAAGAATGAAAAATATCAATGTTAGAAAATAAATTTGTAACTCAATTTCAGATATTCATTTGTTTTGTCAACTAACAGAACCTCCTAATATTAATATTTAATTAATGGGCATACTTTGTTCCAGGATTCTTGCTTTCCTTTATAAATCCTGAGAGAACTCAAGAAGAAAAAGGCTTATAAACATACATGGCTTAATAAATGAAACTTGTAACTTCAGAAAACTTGCTTTGTGACCCAAAAAAGAACTACTCACCAAAAGCAGCAGCCATAGGGGGTTCAAGGGATGGCTGGCCATCACCAGTAGGAAGGTCTAAGCGAGTGAAGTCTCTGCTTTTGTCATTATTATATTTCACATTAAGGCTGGTGAGCTTGGAGAAGTCAATGCGCAGAGTGCAGCATGCATTATAGATATTCTGGCCATCCAGAGCCTAAAGCATGTAAGAAAGGGACTGGTTTTGGCAAGACAACAACACTGATAACCAAGAAGCATCTACTTTGACAAAGAGTGGCAATCAGGTGTGAGGCAGAAAGCACTGACTAAAAAGCCAAAGTCTTGGGTTTACTTTTACCTCACAGTCATTAACTATGAGCCTAAGAGAGAAAAAGAAAATCTCTAAGTCTCAGCTTTCATCTGTAAAATAAGACTGGTAATATTTATCTTGTCTGTGGTAAGATCAAGTAAGAGAGGAGAAATGTAAAAGATTGGAAAACTACTGTCTATCACAGAAATGTTCACTATTATTATGATTATTTTGCCTATACCAAAAGTTTTAAGATACTCTGATTTTACATTCCATTTTAATTCATTTTAGTATAATTCACAATATACTAGGATGTATAAGCTTTGTTAGGATGAAAAAAAGCTTTTGTAAATGGTACTTGTCAGAGCCACAATATATGAAATATTATCTACCACTTACTTTTTTCTATTGTAAATTTACTTTGTAATACTTTGAATAATAAAAACTGAGGGAAATGTGGAGTCAGTTGCGACCAAAGATTAGCAACCCCTTCCTTTGCAAGAACAAAAATTTACCTAAGGGTATTTGTGACCACTTAGGACTTTTGCAAATGCTTGAATTTATAAAAATAGATACCAGAAAGCAAAGAACATAAAAATAAAACATACATACATATATACATATATATCCTGATTTATAATAATGGTCATTGACAAGTATGCCATCATAAAGGTACCAAGTAATACACGCAAGTTCAGGGTACAGCAAATATAAACGCTATACTCCCAATTGAGTGCCAGACACTGTGTGGTACACAAAAGTACCACAAGTCTTAGTCCTCATCTTTGACCAAAAACTAGAAATGACTAGCAAAAACTGCTACAAGATGAAATTAGAGTCAGGGATAGATATCAACAGGAGGTATGCCTAAGATAACCAAACTGAACGTCAAGTTTTATATCTTGTCAGAATAGGTTTTCATGTACTAAAAAAAAGATAACATGAATTGACAGCAGCATATTTCCTAAGATTTAGTATCTCCACCAATTTAGAGCTCAACAGGAATAAACATTGAATACAGCTGCAAAAATGGTGAAACCAATTTCTGACTGATTTAACAGAAGTAAATGGTCTATAGCCATACCACCATGAATGTGCCTGATCTCATCTGATCTCAGAAGTTAAGCAGGGTCGGGCCTCGTTAGTACTTGGATAGGAGAAGTAAATGAAAGCACAAGGGTAATGATGGCTCTATTAGCTTACATCAGGAGTACTGTGTTCAACTGTAGACTTTAAACATGACAAACAGGACCTGAGTCTCAGAGATGTGAGAGGTGTTAGGAGATTTGAGACCATTTCATATGAAGTGAAGAAGTAATGATTTTTAGCTTAGAAAAAAAAATACATGGAATCATACACTTTAAAATGACTAAAATGGTAAACGTCATGTATATTTTACCAAAATTTTTTTTAAAAGACGTGGTAAAGTGGGGCACAAGAGAAGATATGATGACTTCCTTCAGGCATCACTAGAGTCATTAACAATTGAAAAATGAAACAAAGATCATAATTACCATTTTGGCATAATGTGCATTTACTGGGTCAGCATACTGAAGCAAGGCTTGAAACTGATTATTCTTTGTAAAGGTGATAATCTTCAAGACTGTGCCAAATTTAGAAAATATCTGGAAAACAGTTCAAGTTAGGTTAAATGTAAAAGAAAGGTATTAAACTAATGTATCTTTATAAATACAATTTGTTCACAAATCCTTTTAAGTGAAAATTTTCTCTTTAAAACTTTGGTACCAAAATGACTTAAACCTAAAACATTAACATTTCAATACCTACGCCTATCTTAGAACAATGCCCGGTACACAATAGGCACTTAAATAACTAGCCTATTTTATGGCATACATAAATGGTACAGTATTAAAACAGGAGACAACAATAATCAATGGGATGAGATGTGTTACAAAGCATATGAATAAAAGTGGGAGTCACGGACCAACTATTTCACCCTGTGAAGAATCATCTACTTTTTGAGATTTCTGTAGCCACTAGAAGATGTTCAACTAGAGGCTGCTCTATTAATTCGTCAAATATTTGGAGGATTGTTCTAAACACTGCAAAGACAGCAGTAAACAAAACAGAGACAAAAGTCTATGCCCATATGAAGACAATAAACAAATGACAAATATCCTAATATCTGGTGATTTTAAAAGTCTTAAGAATAAAAATAAAAGAAGGGAAGGGGTGAGCATGAACCAGAATGCAAGTTGAGACAGCGTAAGAGTGATGGCCAAAGAAGGTCTTTCTGAAGTGTCTTTTGAGAAGAAAAGAGTGAGGGGAGGGCTTCCTGACATCAATATCCTCACAACACGTGTTCTATCTACCTCAGCACCACAGGGTTCATAGCCAGTGTTAGTATTAATAGTAACTCATTTCTGAAAGACTAAATAGGGGGGATAAAACAATAATATATTTAGTTTTCCTCTGTTGATATGGTTTGGCTCTGTGTCACCACCCAAATCTCATCTCAAATTGTGATTTCCCACATGTCAAAAGAGAGACCTGGTGGGAGGTGACTGGATCATGGGGGCAGTTTCACCTTTGTTGTTCTGGTGATAAGGAGGGAGTTCTCAAGAGATCTGATGGTTTTAAAAGTGGCAGTTTCCCCCACGCGATCTCTCTCTCCTGCCACCACGTGAAGGAGGCCCTGGCCTCCCCTTCGCTTTCTGCCATGACTATAAGTTTCCTGAAGCCTCCCCAGTCATGCAGAACTGTGAGTCAAATAAACCTCTTTTGTTTATAAATTACCCAGTCTCAGGGAGTATCTTTATAGCAATGTGAAAACAAACTAATATTCACTCCATTTTAAATTTGAACCTTAAAACAAAAATTTGTTCTGCTTTTGAGATGAAAAAGGTTGAGTATTCCCTATGCTGGTAAGATTTTGCTGTTATCAACCACTATGGTACAATCAGGGCTCACTGCAGGCTCCACCTCCCAGGCTTATGCGATCCTCCCATCTCAGCCTCCCAAGCAGCTGGGACTACACCACACCTGGCTAATTTTTTATTTTTAAGGTTTTATAGAGATGAGGTCTCACTATGTTGGCCAGGCTGGTCTCAAACTCCTGAGCTCAAGTTATCCTCCCATCGTGGCCTTCCAAAGTGCTGGGATTACAGGTGTGAGGCACTATACCTGGCCCTGCTTTTTAATTCTCAAAGTATGCCTCAAGAATAACTATCCTCCCCTGGTAGTCTAGCGGTTAGGAAAAAAACATGAAAGAAAGAATATTCTAAAGCACAGGTAATGAAAGAAAAAACAGATAAATGGGACTACCTCAAAATTAAAAACTTTTGTGCATCAAAGGAAACTATCAACAGAGTGAAATCAAATCATGTACATGATAATGAGTTAAGGTCCAGAATATATAAAGAATTCATGCAACTCAATGACAATACAAACAATGCAACCCAAAAACAGGCAAAGGACTTCAATAGATATTTCTCCAAAGAAGCTAATGAAACTGCCAATAAGCCCACAAAAAGATGCTCAATATCACTAATCATTAGAAAAATGCAAATCAAAACTACTTATTACCTAACTTCCATTAGGATAGTTACAAAATTTTTTAAAACCCATAAAATAACAAGTATTGGGGAGGATATGAAGAAAATGGAACCACTGTGCACTGTTGGTAGAAATGTAAAATGTTACAGCCACTATGGAAAAAGTAGAACCTATCCTTAAAAAATGAAAATAGAATTACCATATGATCCAGCAATTCCATTTCTAGGTATACAGCCAAGGGACTCAAAGAGATATGCATATACCCATGTGCATTACAGCATTACACAAAATAGCCAAAACAGGAAGCAACCAAAGTGTTCATCAACAAATAAATGGATAAACAAAATATGACATATATGTACAAACTGAATATTACTCAGCCTCAAAAAGGAGAAAAATTCTGAACATGGATGAACCTTCAAAACATCATGCCAGGTGAAATATGCCAGTCACAAAACACACACACTGCATAGTTCCACTTACATGAGGAACCTAAGGTGTAGTCAAACTCACAGGGACCGAAAATAGACTGGTGATTGCTGGGGGCTGGGAGAGCAGATGAATAAAGAGTTCTGTTTAATGGGTAAAGGGAGTTTCAGTTTGGGAAGATGAAAAAAATTCTGGAGACGTGGTATTCAGTGATGGTTGAAAAACAATGTGAACATACCTAATGTCACTGAACTATACAATTAAAAATAGTTAAAATGGTAAATTTTATGTTATATATATTTTGCCACTTACATCACTTATGGCAAGACATGAATCAATCTATGTATTACACATGCATCAACTCGATGTTTTCTCTCAATAAAGGAGTAACGTTAGATTTTTTTAAAAGGCTGGGGATGTAATGTAACAACTGTCTGACCTCCCTTCTTCATTACTACAGCCCAGGTAGCGTTCTAAAGTATAAGTCAGATTATATTTTCCCCTGCTTAAAATCCCTTACTACCTCCCCATTATATACAGGGTCAAATACAAGCTCTTTCACATAACATAACACTCTTGCCCTGGTTTATCTCTCAAACCTCACTTCCTGAAACTTCTTGTATAACACTATTCTATTTACATCAATAATGTGTAGTTGCCTATAGTTCTGCAAATTTACCAAATGATTTCAGACTTCTATGCCCATATATAAGGATTTTCCCTTCTCCTAGAAATCTGTTTTAACAGCTAGTAAGCCTTCATTTATCTTTTCCAAAACTCAGCTCAGGGAACAATGCTACCATAAAATTCTCAGCCTCCCCCAAATCCCTACAGAATTATTTTTCCCGAGTTGTATCTACTTCTTGGTTTTATATAAATATTTATCAGCTAGGCGCAGTGGCTCACGTCTGTAATCCCAGCACTGTGGGAGGCCAGTGGGTCACCTGAGGTCAGGAGTTCGAGACCAGCCTGGCCAACATGGCAAAACCCCATCTCTACTAAAACTACAAAAATTAGCCGGGTATGGTGGCGCATGCCTGTAATCCCAGCTACTCGGGAGGCTGAGGCAGGAGAATCACTTGAACTCGGGACATGGAGGTTGCAGTGAGCTGAGATCGGGCCATTGCACTCCAACCTGGGCAACGAGAGAGAAACTCCGTCTCAAAAAAAAAAAAAAAAGTGTATACACACACACACACACGTATATGTATCTTGCTGTTGTACTTTTACTCTACTATAGATTTATTTATATAACTGTCTCCTTTAATTAGACTGAAAGTTCCTTGAAGGAATATACCTTGTCTTAATCATTTCTGCATCATTAAGTATAATTCCTGGCGTGTGACAGATACAGACTAAAATGCTTATTATTAATTGATATTATAAACTGATAAAATTATAAATTGAGAATTATAGCGATACGCAATTTTTGTTTCCTTTTTAAGAGACAGGGTCTCACCGTGTCACCCATAATGGTGTGCAGTGGCGCAATCATAGTTCACCGTAACCTTGAAACTCCTCGGCTCAAGCAATCCTCCTACTTTAGTCTCCGGAGTACTACAGGGTGCACCACCATGCATGGCTAATTTTAAAAATTTTTTAGAGATAGGGTCTCGCTACCTCACCCAGGCTGGTCTCAAACTCGTGACCTCACATGATTCTCCTACCTTAGTCTCCCAAAGTACTGGGATTATAGGCATGAGCCACTGTACCCAGATGGCAATATGTAATTTTTTTTTTTCTTTTTTAAAAGTTTTTTTTTTTTCATTTTTTCTTTAAAAAAAAAATACTTCTTTTCACCCCAACAAGGGAAGTCAGCAATTTCAAAAAATAACAAATATTCTTGATGTAAAATATCTCATTAGTGAAGGAATAAGAACACATAATTTGCTCTAACATTTGGAAAATTTTTATACTAAATTATGCTACAAAACCTAATTTCCACTTACCTTTCAGATTTTGTTAATGTTTACATTGCTTTTCTCATTTAACTTTACATTCTCATTTCTCATTTAACTTCAACAGTGGCCTAAAGCACATCCTTACGGACAGCTTGGTGTTTTGCTGTGTGGTTTTTATCTGAATGTGCTAAGAGAATAAACTTGCCTGAACAGGCTAACCAGCAATAGCACTCTAGTCCCCTGGATTGTATTCACTGAGAGAGGAGCTACAAAAAACAATATACTTCTGAATAAAGTAACTGGGCATCAACATCAGGGAATCCAGGAATGCCTGACGTGTGATTTTTAACACCTTTTCATAATTACCAAAATAGTAAATTTCAAACAGATTAGGTATCAAAAATTAAAATTTAGGAAGCTTTGATACATATGAATCTATTTTTATGAATTACAAGGTCTTTGACTCTGTTTCCCTAATATATTTTGCTGTCAAAAATATGGACAAATACTCAACTCTAGATACCTCCTGTGTATTTTAATAGTTTCAGACTGTAACACAGGACTAAGAAGACACTAAAGATAAAATTCATCTTCAGAGTGATTTTTTATAAAGGTGTAATTTGTCAGAAACCGAAAATGTCCACTAGTATTCACTTGTAAAAAGTGTATTCACGGCCAGGCGCAGTGGCTCACGCCTATAATCCCAGCACTTTGGGAGGCTGAGGTGGGCAGATCACCTGAGGTCAGGAGTTCGAGACCAGCCCGGCCAACATGGCTAAACCCCATCTCTACTAAAAGTACAAAAATTAGCTGGGCGTGGTGATGGGCGCCTGTAATCCCAGCTACTCAGGAGGCTGAGGCAGGAGAATCACTTGAACCCGGGAGGCAGAGGTTGCAGTGAGCCGAGATTGTGCCACCACAACCCACCCTGGGCTGTAAGAGTGATACTCCATCTCGTGAATAATCACATTAGAAAAGTTTTTTTAGTATCAAGCACATTGGCCACAACTTGTTTATAACAGTTTTTGTAGCCAATGAAATAATATGATTTAAGAACCAGAATTTCATATTACTAGGATTGATTCTTTTATTTAGTACCCATAATGCCTAGCTTTTATAAGTTATTTATCTTTATTACAATTCAAAAAGATTGGTCCTTTGTCCTGAAGAGATTCATCTACTGGACATTCAAAAATTATTCCCATGTATAATAGTACTCAGAAGGAATGGATTACATGAGAACATCATTATGAGCTACTTCTTTCATGCACAAAGACACTTTTTAGTATGCAGGATTGAGCATTTACATAATTAATCAGCTGATGAATCCTATCTACAAATATTCTGAGATGATGTTATCCAGTCCAGTAGCTTTAATTACCACACCTATGCTGAAGGTTTCCAAATCTCCAGCCTGAATTCTTTCCTGAATCCAGACTTAATTCCCATTTATCATCTCCCATTTGAATACCTAATAGGTATCTTAAGTTAACATGTTCAAATCAAACTCTTGATTTATGCCTACCTCCAACTCCGGCCCCAAATCTTTTTTTGTCTTTGTCTTTTTATTATTATTACTATTATTTATTTACCTCAGTCTTTATATCTTAGCTCCATTTTACCAGAGACTCAAATCCAAAATCTAGGAGGCATTCTTGATTACTCCCTTTCTCTTCAGAACCAAATCTAATCAATCCATCAGCAAATCTTTCAAAATATAACCACAGAAGTCCATATAGGTGGCCCGTACCTATAGCCCCAGCTTCTCATGGGGTGGAAGGATTGCTTGAGCCCAGGAGTTTTTTTGGGCCAGTCTGCGCAACACAGCAAGACCCTATCTCTAATTTTTAAAAAATCCATAATCACCACTTCCAGTCCTTAAGGCCTCACCCAGGCCACCATCATCTCTCACTTGAAGTAGGACAAGAGCCTCCACTTAACCCCATACAGCTTATTCTTTTTGGAGGATGAGGGGGCAGGGTTTCACTCTGTCATCCAGGCTGGAATGCAGTGGCACAATCTCGGTTCACTGCAACCTCCACCTCCCGGGCTCCAGCTATCCTCCCATCTCAGCCTCCTGAGTAGCTGGGACTACAGGTGTGTGCCACCACCCTTCGCTAATTTTTTGTATTTTTGGTACACAGGGGTTTTGCCATATTGCCCCAGGCTGGTCTTGAACACCTGAGCTCAGAAGATCCATTGGCCTTGGCCTCCCAAAGTGCTGGGATTACAGGTGTGAGCCACCACGCCCAGCCATAGTTTATTCTTAACACAGCAACAAGAGTGATTCTGCTAAAATGTAAATGATATAATCTCACTGTTCCATTCAAAATCCTCCAAAGGTTTCCCATCTTACCCAGTGTAACAATTATAAAAGCTTTGCATCATCACTGCTCTGATGCCCTCTCGCATAGGGCTTTCTTACTCTCTCTATTCCAGTGACACCGCCTTCTTTCTGATACTTCAACACAACAAGCACACTTCCACCTTAGGCACCTTATATTTGTTGTTCTTTTGGACTGGATCATTATTTCTCCACATACACACATAACTTATATTTTCCCATCCTGTAAGCCTCTGCTCAAATACCATATTGGAAAGACTTTCCCTAGCTTCCTTCATCTAAAATAGCATCAGTCCCATCTCAGTCACTCTCAATTCCCTTACCATGAGCTAACGGAACACTAGTTTCTATAGATGTTAGATAGCAGTTGAGCCAGGACCAATTTTCAGCAAAGAATATAATAAAATAATTTGCTAAATAGTTATAACAGGTACAACCAACTCCACACTTCTGTATATTCCCCTACCATAATATTCATTACATTTTATGCCATTATTTATGAAATTAGTGTCTTATCCACAAGACTACAAGAGGAAGAACCAGTTTCCTACATTGCTCTTTACTGGCATTTGATCATTAGAGCTAACACTTCTTGGGCACTTAGATGGAGTCTTGCTCTGCTGCCCAGCCTGCAGTACAATGGCGCGATCTCAGCTCACTGCAATCTCAGCCTCCTGGGTTCAAGTGATTCTCCTGCCTCAGCGTCCAGAATAGGTGGAACTACAGATACATGCCACCACACCGGGCTAATTTTTCATATCTTTAGAAGAAATAGGGTTTCACCATGATGGCCAGGCTGGAGTTGAACTCCTGACCCTCAAGTCATCCACCCTCCTTGGCCTCTCAAAGTGTTGGGATTACAGGCATGAGTCACTACATCCAACCCCTCCTTCTTGGGCACTTAATATGTATCAGGCCCTGTTTTATTTAGTAAGTACTTTAAATATATTAACTCATGTAATCCTTGCAATAAAAAATGAGAGAACATCATCTTCATTATAAAGAGAACAAAAATAGAAGGGGTAAGTTACTTGCCCAAGGCTACAGAGGCAGTAGAGTCAGGATTCAAACTAGCTTCAGACCCTGTATCTGTAACTGTTATGCCAGACTGGCTGTTAGTTGGCTGATGGGATAAGAGTGCCAGGGGAGAGGACTTGCTTAATGTAATCAGATTGCTCCCTCAGGAGGTAACATTTGAGCTGAGAGGTGAATGACGTCGATCCTGCCAGGTGACTACCTGGATAAAGAGCGTTCCTGGTCTAAGAAATACAAGATAGAAATGGACTAAGGACAGAATTAAGCAGGGAGAAAGGAAAGGGAGGTAGGGAGAGAGAGACAGTGCCAGAAAAGACAGGTGTTAAATAAGCAGAAGAGTGTTAGGTAATGAAGATAAAGAGATGGGGGAGAAGTCTGCATTTGGGGGCCTTCATAAGGAGCTGGTTTTATTTCAATAGCACTGGAAAAGAGGGTTTAAAAAGTGAGTGCTGTAACTGAAAGACTGGGAGTCCTACCCCAGCAGTTGCTACTGAGGACACTCAGAATTAGTCTTCTTCACCTGAAGGTCACCATGATCTCTTGAGGGAAAAACAAAATTTGTTACTGTGGTTAGGGAGATGATAAATGAAATGATAAGACAGGACCACGTGACTGTAGCTAAACTGGCTGCTGGCTGATGGCAGTGTTGGGACACAGGCATAAGAACATCTTTTATAAAAGCAATAACTACAATGTTACAGTAGCAACCCCGGAACAAACACTGCTAAAGATCCCATTAGTTTTCAATGCCACTTTCTGGGATACACAGAAGAAAATCCACAAGAACAATGAAACCAATCACCTAAGCAACAGCTGAACCCTTTCAGAGAGCAACCATGGCTGTGGATCCCATTGCTAGCGTCCTCCTTAGGACATGCTTCACCAATGCATATCAAAGGGGAACCCAGTAGGCGTACTCAATGGCATGTTTTAAAATATACATGCATGGCACAGGACTTTACTAAGAAATGTGTCTGAGCTCTATTGTCAATTGGTATATAGACTATGGGAAAGTAAATGAACTTCTAAGGGCCCTAGCTTCTTTATTTGTAAAATGTGAGGCTAGAGTAAGATGCATTTCAATTCTTACATATACAAGCACACACATCCCTATGACTCTGCACATACCACAAATCCAAAGGCACGACTCTGTTAAATGAAAATAAGCAAGGGAAGTGTTGCAGTATTTTAATATGTGGGTGTAATGAGTATGTGGGTGTAATAAGTGTAACGAAACGAAATCAATATATAGCTAAAGAGGACAAAAGCTGACTAAATTTTGGGGCTATATGTCAAATATTCATATACACAGATTACCAGATAACTGTATATTACATTTTGAGGATATGTATATATGAAATATTAGTTAAAAATGTAACAACCATTCAAAAACAAAACATGGGAAATTACATCAGGAAGTCTCAATTCTAATTGGCTCTTCAATTACTCTCTACAATATTCAATACTTATCAATTATTTGTGTTTCGGATTTACTCACTACAAAATTATGAAACTAACTGACCTTCAATTCTTAAATTCTACATATTACTTGCTATGATTTCTTTTATCAAGACAATTTAGATATAGCAACGGGTAGTGTATGAAGCTTAGGTTGGGCATCAGTCAATATTTAACATGGTATATTCATATTACACGTGAAGACTTATTATACACTTTCCCTTTAGAATTTTTAAATCAGAAATACTCAAATGTAAGAAGTTGTCAACAGAAACAAATTAGTTGTACTCAATGGTGATGTTACTTTCTAAGGAACAACTACTACCTGGACTTTTCACAGTATTCTATGCTTTGTTCATTTTCATGCTTACCTGTAAGAAAAAAATCAAAACTTTTTACACCCTTTTAAATTATGTATTCAAGTTAGAAAAAGGAGGCTGTCAAAAAATTACCTCTAATTTCTATGAAACAGGATAAAGATTTTTTCATTATTTAAACAAATATATCAACAAAACCAACAAGCTAAACAACTTAGATATAAAACATTAAAAGTTTCAGAAGCCATATTTAACTTAACCTTCTTAAGAGTATTTATTCCTCCTTACCTGATGAAGAACTTCCAGGGTAACAGGGTAAAAGAGGTTTTCAATAATTATTCGAAGCACAGGACTCTGCCCAGGTAGGACTGTGCCTTCATTGGAAGGACCTCCAGAAAGGGCCAGGCTTCCTGATTGGACGGCACTGACAGCCTGCAGTGCAGCCTGGGCTCGCTATAGAACAATCCAAAATGAGAACTTTTGATTATACAGACGCATTATATGAATCCTAAAATTTAGTTGATATAAAACAGTATGAAGCAATATAGTTAAGTAAAACAAGATTTATCTACTCTGTCTGGAGGTACATATCCTAAATTTGTAATCAAGTAAACAGTCAAACACCTCCCTGCATACCACAACGACACAGTATTTTTAAAAGGTGCTTAAATTTACTTGAAGAAAAAAAACACATGAAGAAAAGGAGAAAATTTGGATACAATTTTTATTTCCTAATTTTTAAAAGACAATGGGAGGCCGGGCACGGTGGCTCAAGCCTGTAATCCCAGCACTTTGGGAGGCCGAGACGGGCGGATCACGAGGTCAGGAGATCGAGACCATCCTGGCTAACACGGTGAACCCCCGTCTCTATTAAGAAATACAAAAAACTAGCCGGGCGAGGTGGCAGGCGCCTGTAGTCCCAGCTACTCGGGAGGCTGAGGCAGGAGAATGGCGTAAACCCGGGAGGCGGAGCTTGCAGTGAGCTGAGATCCGGCCACTGCACTCCAGCCTGGGCGACAGAGCGAGACTCCGTCTCAAAAAAAAAAAAAAAAAAAAAAGACAATGGGAGAAGAAATATGAAAGCAACATTAAAGACTATGGTATGGGATGTTTACACCCAAGCAAGGGTAGGCAAGACAAGCTTCTAAATATTCTCCACTAAAAGAAACCAAGGCACTCTAAAAGAATAGCTGATTCCAGAACTGGGGCCCAGAAATCACAAGATGAGTATAAAACATTTTTGTTTTGGGGCAGGGGGAGGAAGCGTTGGTCAGAATGCAAGGAAATGTTCAAAGAATGATAGGGATATTCCAAAAGGACATAGAAACCAGTTTGAAGGGGCCTGTACTGGCCAAATCTAGGACAATTTGTGTATCAAAATAATAACAACTGTTAAAAAACCCATCAAATAACATAGGAAACCTTTAGTCCATACTGATATAAATTAACAGCTGATAAGGAACAGTATATTTACATAGTTTTAAAGTACCTGCCCACAAAATACTACTCTTCCCCCTTGTAAGTAACAACTTTATAGTGGAGAGGGCTGGCAAACACCACCCTAATCAAGTGATCAAAGAGCCCATCATTACTAACACAACTAATGGAAATTTTATGATGCAATGAAAAAAGCATTACTTCTGTGATGTGCTATCAAAGACAGATACTCTGAATTGAATCACAAGGAAACAACAGACAAACTCAAACTGCTAAAAATTATGTCCAATGCTAAAAATTATGAAGGAGCAGAATTCCTATTATGGGAAATAATTTTAAAATGTTTGGGTAACAAACTCTCTGGAATAGTGAAATTAATAAAGGAAATAATAGCAATAGTATGATCAGGAAAACAAATTTAATGTGGGATAAGGAGAAATGTATACTTCATGTAAAATTTAAAAATGCCTGGAAAATGTAAAGAAGATATTTCTCAGATTGAGAAGATGAAAATTAACATACAATAAAAATGCACAGATCTTAAGTGTTAAGTATGATTGTCTTTTTAGAGAAAATCTTTCTATGGTCATCTCATGGCAGATTTATAAACTTTCATCCACAAGGTCAAGAAAAGCTGCATACAATGACGACTCCCATTAACACAACCATTTCTCAAATGCTGTATCTCAGAATATGACCTAAATTTTACAGTTGTGATTTTAGTTTAAATCAAGGAAACAAAAACACTTAATATTCACCTGACCTTCTGGCAAGTACAATCATAAACTGGAAAAATAAAGTGCATATTTTGGGATAGCTTGCTATTCAGAGAATAAAAAGGAACGAAACATCCATCAGCTTTCTGGGAATGTCAGAATAAAAAGACATTACAGTACTTTAAAAATATCAAACAGGTATCTGAAACTTTGACGTTAGGTTTGATGTAGGACTTTGAATTAAAAAAAAAAAGTATTGTATTTTATCAAACATCAATGCATAAAAGTTATACAAAAGCAACAAGATGGAAAAAGTATTGGGAAGAAATGAAGGCTATCTCAGAATAAACTAGGTCATTCAGGCTAGCTTTGGTTGCCAAGCAACTGGGATTTCTCACTGTTTCTCTTTGGAATAATCCAACCTTTAAGATTTATTAAATTGTTTTTTCCCTTCAAGATTTATAGCAACATATTTAAGAATCACACTAATGAGAAAAATGCAGGATTTACATGAAGGAAAATTAAAAAGTCTACTGAAAGACAAACAAGAAAACAAACAAAATATAACTTCCTCCTTAAAAGAATCAGAGTAATATAATTAATGTGCAAAATTAATTATCTCAAATTAATTTACAACATCGACCCAATTCCAAGTGTGTCTCTTGGAGGACAGGAGTTACCAAAATAATTCCAAAATGTATCTGAAGAAATAGGCAAGATATATTAATCAGTTAATTTCTGAAAAGAGAGTAAGAAATAAGGTCTTGCCCTGCAATATATTAAGCCTTAGGAGTCAGGAGCAGTAGCTCACACCTGTAATCCTAGCACTTTGGGAGGCAGAGGCGGGTGGATCACCTGATGTCAGGAGTTCCAGACCAGCCTGGCCACCATAATGAAACCCTGTCTCTACTAAAACTACAAAAATTAGCTGGGCGTGGTGGCGGGCACCTATAATCCCAGCTACTCGTGAGGCTAAGGCAGGAGAATCGCTTGAACCCGGCGGGCGGGGGGTGGGGAGCAGAGGTTGCAGTGAGCTGAGATGGCTCCACTTCACTCCATCCTGGGCAAAGAGTAAAATTCTGTCTCCCAAAAAAAAAAAAATTAAGCCTTAGGGCACAGATGCAGAAACGGAATCCAAGCTTTTGCAATTCAAAAGGTTAAAGTAAAGGTTAAACATGGAATGCATAGCATGTGAGCAGCACACACATGAGGGTAGAACAAGACATGTAAGCAGAACATACAAGCATGTCAGACAAGAGTGCACGTGTGTGTACATATGATCAGCAGGCACAGGGTGTGTATAGAAAACTAATATATGACAAAGGACAAGTTTCACATTATAGATAATAAGTGAGTTATTCAAAAATAATGCAGGAGAAACTGGTCTCTTGGAGTAAAAAAAAGACTGAAGCCTTACCCTCATTCCTACATCTAAAAAATTCCTAATAGAGAAGTAAGAACCACAACATAAAAGTATTAGAAGAAAACATACGTAGATTCTTTTTTTAATCTTGGTGTACTAGGTCTTTCTGAGCATGGTACCGAAGTCAGAAAAGATTGTATTATGACATCCTAAGAGACTTGACTATATATTTAAAAATCCATAGAGACTGAAGGTAGAATGGTAGTTGCCAGAGGTGGGAGGGAGGGAGGAATAGGGAGTTACTGTATAATGGATAGAGTGTTTGAAGTTTGAGGTGATGAGAAATGGCATCTAGAGACTAAGAGTGGTGGTGACTATACAACAATGTGAATGTACTTAATGCCATTAACCTGTACATTTAAAAACTGCTGAAATGGTAAATTTTGTCATATATATTTTACTACAATAAAAAATGGGGAAGTGGCACTAACAAAAATCAGTATATTTCACAAATTATCAAATAAAAGTAAAAAATAGGATACAATTACTCATCTATCTATTAACGAACACTGGAAAGCCATCTGCTCATCCATTATATTGGTGGCACTCTAAGCACATAATCTCTACAGAAAGCAATCATGCAACATAAACCAAAATTTAAAATATGTACATGCTTTGTCCCAGCAATTTCATACATATACATTGGAATATACATTGTATCGTATGGCAATATACATTGTATTGGATTGGAATATGCTGTACTGGAATATACACTGGAAACAACTTCAGTGTGTATCAAAAAGAAATTGGACAAATTATAATTCTCCTATACAAGACAGTATTATAGTCATTAAAAGCTAATGAGGTAATGCTATATTTGTTGTAATAAACTCATGTCCATAACATTACACAAAAAAAGATTTCAAAACATTTTGTGTAAAATTAGATACACAGACACCTGAATACACATCGAATATTACCACTAGTCATTAGTTATCTCTGGGTAACTGGATTGGTTTTAGTTCTTTTCTCTTTTACTTTTCTTGATTGAATGGTGTACCATAAGCATGTATCCTATGTACAATTTGTAATGACAATTTTTTATTTTAAAAAGTCTATTCCATTCATCTAATATTGTATTTATTATAAGCTTATATAGTTTATCATATGCCATTAATATTGCCTAAAATAAGTTAAGGATTACGTGCAGTAAATATTGCTGTTTCAAACAATGTGGAAAACTAATTGAATCTCACCAGCTTACATTATGCTGCCTTTCAACACAAAATCAGAGAGCTGGAGGAGTTCTTTGCCTAGAGCAAGAATACAGAGGCCAAACATGCCCTACCCACTTTCTTCGTTTTGTTTTTTTGTTTTTTTGGTTTTTTTTTTCTTTTTTGAGATGGAGTCTCATTCTGCCACCCAGGCTGGAACACAGTGGCACGGTCTTGGCTCACCACAAGCTCGGCCTCCCGGGTTCACACCATTTCTCTGCCTCAGCCTCCTGAGTAGCTGGGACTACCGGCATCCGCCACCACACCCGGCTAATTTTTTTTGTATTTTTGGTACAGACAGGGTTTCACTGTGTTAGCCAGGATGGTCTCGATCTCCTGACCTCATGATCCACCTGCCTCGGCCTCCCAAATCGCACCCAGCCAAAACCCACTTTCTTAAAATGTATTTGCTTTGTGGATAAACATTTTCTGTCCTTAAATAACTTCAAATTATTAAACTATTTTTAACCACTTAAAAATCAACATGGAAAGACACAAAAGACTCAACGTGTGCTACATCAAAATAACAGAAAAATGGGTAAGAAATGTTGCTATGCTACATTTCACATTCATCTTCAGGAGTCAAAAATCATTTAATAAACAATTCTAAAAAACTCTTAAGGTCTTAAGTTCCATTACTTAATATCACTCAGTTTCTCAATGCCTTTGTTAGAGTCTGTAAAAAGATGACTGAAATGAATCATTAAGTTCCTTTCCGATCTGAGATTTTAAGATGTATGTAACAATAAATATTTTTTCTCCTCTTTTTATTGTGAAAACAGTTTCAAGAGAAAAAATAAACTTCTAATATATTTCTAAATGGCATTGCTTTCTTATTCTTAAGAATTGGGGGAAGAATTTACATATACAATTATGACTAGTAAAGTATCCTAAAATAAATAAAGGCACATAATTTTGCTTCATCTGTAAAGTATGTAAGTTATCATACCATGTGTTCCCATATCTATTTTTAAAAACACCTTTAATACTTACAGCTTGATTAGGTAGATTGTCAGTCTTAAGTTCTCTGTGATTGGAATACTGAATATAAACAGGCTGGCTTCGAAGGTGAGGAGTAATAGGAGTGTAATAATTCACCATAGTAACAGCAGCTTCCTCAGAAGCCATTTCTAAGAAAGCCTGCAATAAACACAAGAAGATAAAGTGAAAGCTCATCTTTTTGAAAGATAGTTAAGAGATATTTTGCCATTCTAGCCTGCTCTAAAACCATGCATTCTCAAATAAAATGACACTACCCCCAAGGGGAGAAAAAAAAAAACTTTGCTTCAAAATATCATGGATGTCAATTAGAAACATCTAAAAAGTTGAGTTCACTGAAGAACTTTGAGAAGCCAGGCATGGTGGTTCACAACTGTAATTCCAGCTACTTTGGGAAGACAAGGTGGGAGGACTGCTTGAGCCCAGGAGTTCAACACCAGCCTGGGCAACATAGGGAGAATCCATCTCTACAAAAAAAATTTCTTAAATTAGCTACGCATAGTGGCACATGGCTGTGGTCCCAGCTACTTGGGGTTGGGGAATGAGGGAGGGGCTGAGTAGGAGGATTGCTTGAGCCTGGGAGGTTGAGGGTGCAGTGATCCATGTCTGCATGACTGCACTGCACCATGGGCAACAGAGTAAGACACTGTCTCAAAAAAAAAAAAAAAAAGGATTTAACTGCCAGTTGATTAAGGGATTTTATGTAGTTTTTGGTTCTCCTTTTATTTGTTTCTTTTAAAATCTAGAAATAATTAAAAATATGAAAATAAATGTGTATGTCTCACCACTGTAAACGGATGCTTTCAGGGGCTGTGATTTCAGTTTATCATTAAAAATAGTGAGGCTAAGGCTGGGCACAGTGGCTCAGGCCTGCAATCCCAGCACTCTGGGAGTCTGAGGAGGGTGGATCACCTGAGGTCAGGAGTTCAAGGTCAGCCTGGCCAACACAGTGAAACCCTGTCTCTACTAAAACTACAAAAATTAGCCGGGAATGATTGTCGGGTGCCTGTAATCCCAGCTACCTGGGTGGCTAAGGCGGGAGAATCGCTTGAGGCCGGGAGGCAGAGGTTGCAGTGAGCCAAGATCACGCCACTGCGACTGAGTAAAACTCTGCCTCAAAAAAAAAAAAAAATGAGGCTAAAAGGCTATAATACATAAACAGATACTAAATTTAATGCCGGCAATTAAGGGGTAAAAAGGCTAAAAACCGTCTTTAGGGAAGCAGAAAGAAAAAACAGAGGAAAAAACATTGAGAAACACTGCTCTAATAATACCCAGTCTTAAACAGGAATGGGGCAAAATGGTATGTTCTCCTTTTACCCTTTTTAAAAACAGCCATTTATGAATCAAATTAATAGAGCATTCACTTTTTTCCAGTAAGTTTTATTATCTCATACTTCACCAACATATGTGATAGCAAGAAACGAGAACTAGCATGATATGGTAGAAAGGGAACCTGATTAAAATCTATGCCTGGCTATGACACCTTACTCATTAACACCTCTGAGCCTCAGTTTTCTTATCTAAAACATGAAGCACTGCCTAACAGGATCTTTAAGTCTCTTTGCAGCTCTAACATGAGATGATTTTTTAATTGAGATCATTTTTAGTTCCTGTTAGTTGGACTGTATGGTATTTTTCAGAATAAAACTATTAAACTCAGCCTCTGAAAAGCATCCTTGTAGAATGGTGATCAACACTCTGGTTTTTCTTCAGATGGTATAAATCTTTCACCTTTTACTCATATAATGGTGCACACTTTAGATTTGCCTTCTTAAGTATTTCTAAGAAGAAACGAGAAAAAAATCAAGAACCATATAAAACCAGTTAATTAAGTGGCAATTTTCCAATTCTCAATCTTTTTTTTTTTTTTTTTTTGAGACACAGTCTCACTGTCGCCCAGGCTGGAGTGCAGTGGCGTATCTCGGCTCACTGTAACCTCTGCCTCCTGGGTTCAAATGATTCTCCTGCCTCAGCCCCACAAGTGACTGGGATTAACAAGCACATGACACCATGCCCCCGGCTAATTTTTGGGTTTATAGTAGAGACGGGGAGTCATCATGCAGGCTGGTCTAGAACTCCTGACCTCAAGCGATTCACCCAAGTCGGCCTCCCAGAGTGCTGGGACTACAGGTGTCACCAAATCCTTCGTACTCAATGTTTCAAATGCTTCCAATTAACACCCATGTTACATTTTGAAAAAAGGTTACATATAAATATGTAAAGGTATTTCCTGTGTTTTACATGTTTATATATATTACACACATGTGCACACATATATAAACATGGTATCTACATCTTCATGTCACATTTACTTGTATGTATGGAATCACACTTAACTTTGGCCAGAAAACAGTGCTGTTTGGGGAATATCAAGTTTTACTTTAAATAATTCTATGCTTTTGAATTTTTTTCAATAAATGTATGAAGTATTTTTAATTTTTTAAAGGTTTCCCAACATAAGAATCATGATTCTTAAGCATTCCTTAAAAAGGCATCTGAAATTCCAGTCTAAAATGATGGGAAATCATGCGTGCAGCATTGACAGACAGCATTATCTTAAGGTACCAAGAATTCTCCCCATTCCACACCCTCTCTCTATCCCTCAACCCTCAAAAAGCGTTGTGAAGAAAACGTTTCAGTGATCTCCTTACCATATTACCCATCACCACTGCCACCAGCTGCCCCCAACTCATAGACTCACATGGCTTTAGTGCTCCCAGGGCTTAGGTTCCTTTTTTTGTTTTTGTTTGTTTTTGAGTAGGAGTCTTGCTGTGTTGCCCAGGCTGGAGTGCAGTGGTGCGATCTCGGCTCACTGCAGCCTCCACCTCCTGGGTTCAAGCAATTCTCCGGCCTCAGCCTCCTGAGTAGCTGGGATCACAATCACAAGTGCGTGCCACCACACCCGGCTAATTTTTGTATTTTTAGTAGAGACGCGGTTTCACCATGTTGGCCAGGCCGGTCTTGAACTCCTGACCTCAAGTGATCCACCCACCTTGGCCTCCTAAAGTGCTGGGATTAGAGGAATGAGCCACCACGCCTGGCTTTAGGTTCCTTTTTAAGTACTGAAGCATTCAATAAAACATAGACATGCACATATATGTCATATTTAATTCTGAGGCACAGGCTGAGTATCCCTTATCCAAAATGCTTAGGAACAGAAGTGTTTTAGATTTCAGATTTTGAAATATTTAATATTTGCCTTAGATATTTACTAGCTGAGCATCCCTAATTCAAAATTCTGGAATCCAAAATGCTCCAGTGAGCATTTCCTTTGATTGTTATGGTGCTCAAAAAGTTTCAGATTTTGGAGCACCTCATTTTCAGATTAGGGATATTAAACCTTTATGACAAAATAAGGCCAGGTGTAGTGGCTCACGCCTATGATCCCAATGCTTTGGGAGGCCGTGACAGGCAGATCACTTGAGGTTAGGAGTTCGAGACCAGCCTGGCCAAAGTTGTATAACCCCGTCTCTACTAAAAACACGCACAAAAAATTAGCCAGGTGTGGTGGCAGGTGCCTGTAATCCTAGCTTCTTGAGAGGCTGAGGCAGGAGAATCACTTGAACGTGGGAGGCAGAGGTTGCAGTGAGGTCAAGATCTCACCAGTGAACTCCAGTGTACTCCAGCCTGGGCAACAGAGCGAGACTCCGTCTCAAAAACAGAAAATAGTTTATAATCTTCCAAATACAGAATATTTTTTAAAAAATAAGGGACGAAAGATCAATTATTCAAATTATGGAAATCTGAGAACTTCCTACACTCACTGAGTCAATATTGATTTAAGTCATTCAAGTGACTTGGTATCTGTAGTCACTGTACTAACAGTAGATATCTGAAGAATGACTCGGGAAAAGTTTAGCTGGCAAAAGCCCCTTGACACTTGTATTCTATAGTATACATAGTTTCCTCTTACAGGAATAAGTATACAAAGCTTTAAGGTGGTAGATTTTGTCCCCATCTCACTCTTTTTATGTATTTATTTATTTATTTATTTAGAGACAGAGTCTCACTACACTGGAGTGCAGTGGCACAATCTCAGCTCACTGCAACCTCCACTTCGTGGGCTCAAGCAATCCTTCCATCTCAGCCTCCCAAATAGCTGGGACTACAGGTGGGTGCCACCACACTTGGCTAATTTTTTACAATTTTTGTAGCGACGAGGTCTCACTATACTGCCCAGGCTGGACTTGAACTCCTGAGCTCAAGTAATCCTCCTGCCTCAGCCTCCCAAAGTGGTGGGATTACAGGCGTGAACCACTGTGCCCAGCCTTTGTCGCCCTATTTTAATGATTAGTTAGAAAGATAAACTATAGACACTAACCAACCATTCTGAGTCCTCAAAACTACTGGTAAGAACATCTCAAAAAATTTAAAATGCAGGAACCACTCCTGATCCAGATCAACAAAATTTCTAGTTAGACAATCCAATTCTTTTTTTTTTACTACAAAAGAACATATTTATTTATTCATCCATCCATCCATCCATCCATCCATCCATCCATCCATCCATCCATCCATTTTTTTTTTTAACGGATAGGGGTGTTGATATGTTGCCTCGCTTATTCACAGGCACGATCCCACTACTCATCAGCACAGGAGTTTTGACCTGCTCTGGTTCTGGTCTGGGCCAGTTCACCCCTCCTTAGGCAGCCTGGACCACACTGATGTAAAACTTAGTGTGGATACCAAATCGGCTTAGTACACTACAGTCCAGAATGCCCAGACTCAAGCAATCCTTGAGGCAAGTGCCACTATCCCCAGGCACAAGGGCATTTAATTAGCAAGCACGTATCAACCATTTCAACTTATGTATAAAACATTTACAATTTATAAAATATGAATTCGTTAACACCAAAATTACTGAACACAGGAAATGGCAAATAGCTCTGTATCAAACTATTTCTTTGTTTATAGTTACCTTACTTGTCAAATGTTTCCACATAAAGTCTAGAAAAGCAATATTAACTGGACAGATGTTAAACATGATGTATAACTGTACCAACCAAATGTAACAACCAATGAAATGCTCCAAATGAACTACCAATGTTCTATGAAACAGTGATGTTAGCCATGTGACAGTGGATGAAACATCACAAATCAATCAACCCACAATAAACAAACAAAACTCCCCAAGCAAATCAAAATTCTACTATCTTAAAAGAGCAAAATTGACTTCAAGTCATTTATACTATTTAAAAGGTAAAAATGTCCGTGATGTAATTTGAAGCCATTATCCACTTGTGTCAGTAATATATTTTTTCTAATTTTTCTAAGACAATAGGATAAAAACGGTCAAGGTAGGAAAACCAGTTTCATCTTTCAACAATTTGTAAACAATAATATTCATTGTATGGGCATATTTCTGCAAACTTTTTTCTAAATGTTAAGAACATACTCAATTTCTAACATCAGTCACATAAAGGAAAAGCTAAACAATATACTTGGAATATATGATTCTTGTCACAGGATTTTCTTTCTTACAGTATATAGGACCTAAAATTTCATATGCTAAAATAATTTTTTTCCACATGCAGTCCAGTAATTATTTACATTTTATTTAAGTATCTAGTCAAAAAGTCCAATTTTAATAGTACAGAGTGGAGAGACAGCCAAAAGTCACTACCCAGAGGAAGGCTGGTAAAAATAATCCCCATTTGGCCCCCAATACTTCACCCTTCAAATGCCCTGAGAAAAGTTATCACTCACGAGTGGTTCTAGTGACTCAAATCAGAATCTCCTGCTCAAGTGTATTTACTAAAAAGATATTTTTTAAACAGGATTTGTGATCAAAACACAAGCAATTAACATAACACTTACGGTTAGCTTACCGATAAAAATAAACCCAGAATCAGTAGCAGAGACAAAGAAAATTATGATGTTGCCTGCTCAGCGTTTCACAGGCAATTAGCCATTAGACATGGCCATGTGGTCTCTGTTCAAATCAGGCAAACCATACTATTCTCAATAGTAGCAACTGTGTTAAAATAAAGATCTAACTGGCAGGGATGCACTGTCTCCAAAGGATTTCAGACAAATGTGGAAATACAAGGGCCAAATATTAAGGCATGTTACACTTAACTTCTCCAGATCTTAGTAACCTCATGAGAACTAAAGAGGATATTAAATAAGTGATTTACTAAGTATAGGGAACTCAGTCAGACATCATCATCCAACCTCTTTCATGCCCAATGCTTACTACTATTTATAAATGTATTTAAAATGTGTTTCTTAAACTTATTATTTATCAAAAGCAGATGAAACACAGTAATACATCACAATGTACTACAAAATACCTAGGGCCTAGATTTGTTGTCCTCTTCTTTACAGTAATAAACAGTATAAAAGATTTTTAGGACAGCCAAAAACTTGGAAAAAACTAAAGAATTCACCCCAGTGGTGTCTGAGTTGGAACAAGAGGACATACAATTATTAAAATCCACATGACAAGTATTATAATTTTTGTCATGGTCACCACAGAAACAAGTTTCCTTACTCATCTTAAGAATCTGTTACCTTCTCAAATGAAAACTCTTTTTTTTTTTTTTTTGATGGAGTCTCGCTCTGTCACCCAGGCTGGAGTGCAGTGGCTGGATCTCAGCTCACTGCAAGCTCCGCCTCCCGGGTTTACGCCATTCTCCTGCCTCAGCCTCCGGAGTAGCTGGGACTACAGGCGCCCGCCAGCTCACCCAGCTCGTTTTTTTGTATTTTTCAGTAGAGACGGGGTTTCACCGTGTTAGCCAGGATGGTCTCGATCTCCTGACCTCGTGATCCGCCCGTCTCGGCCTCCCAAAGTGCCGGGATTACAGACTTGAGCCACCGCGCCCAGCCTCAAATGAATACTCTTTACAGTCTCTTCTGAATTATGAAAGAAGATACATATTAATTCTATACCTAAAATAAACTGACTTTTTCAGAGGACATTATTTTGACTAGCCTCCTGCACTACACCCCAGCAGACCAGTCCAAATTAAAATGGAGTCACTCATGCAAAGTAAAGCAAGTAAATCCCCAAACAAACCAGTTTTTCCTGAAAACAGGAGATTCGCAGCAACCAATCAGAAAGAGAGTGGCCTACCTGAATCAGCACAGTAAGTTCCTACTGATTTGACCCTTACAAGAAAAGTTAAATGCAATAACCCAGTGTTAACAAATTCACTTTTTAAACAATTATTTCCTTGTTCCCACCTTATAAAAACCAACTGTTCTGTCTTGCCCAGTGGAACATTCATTCTATTTTAAAGAATGAGGTGTTGCTAGGTTCTAGAATCACAAATAGAAGCCAATGTAATCATGTTTAAATGTGTTGTGATTTTGTCTTTTGACAATACTATACTTTTTTTCTTTTTTTGGTGAGACGGAAATTTACTCTTGTTGCCCAGGCTGGAGTGCAATGGCGCGATCTCGACTCACCACATCCTCCACCTCCCAGGTTCAAGCGATTCTCCTGCCTCAGCCTCCCGAGTAGCTGGGATTACAGGCATGTGCCACCATGCCCGGCTAATTTTGTATTTTTAGTAGAGACAGGGTTTCACCGTGTTGCCCAGGCTGATCTCGAACTCCTGACCTCAGGTGATTTGCCTACCTTGGCCTCCCAAAGTGCTGGGATTACAGGCATGAGCCACTGCGCCCGGCCGACAATACTATACATTTTTATCTAGATTTTTGAAAACTTAACTGTTCTTTAATTTGCCAAATGAGGTATAATTTATATCCTATCAGCGTTTTCTGCTAATCACAGGACATTTGATAAACCACTGTGTAATACAAAATATAAATCAAATTAAAAACAAATTAACTAAAAGAAAATAAAACATTTGTGTCTTAAGAAGAAAAAACATAAGTCAATGGATAAAAGAAATCCTGTTTCTTGTGTTACTATGGTTTGTTGCTTCCTGTTACACCCCCCCAAAAAAATCTACTTTTAAAACTGATTTATGTTCATAATATGAAATTTTAAAAATACAGAGAAGCTCAAGAAAATAAAAAATTATCAGTAATACTAACATCTGAAGATAATCACTCTTTGTCAATCTTTAAATATTACATACCTGGCTTTTTCCTTTCAACATCAAAAGATTAGTTACTTTGCCAAATGGTAGACCTAATGATATGATCTCTGCTTCGGTGACATCACATGGAATTTTTCGAAGATGGAGAACACGGGAAGGCGAACAGGGAGGTCTATCTCGTTTAAATTTCTTGCTGTCATTCCCATTAGCTAAAAAACATAAGATTCTTTTTTAAATTACTGAAACTAATTTGGGTTGACATACTACCTTAATCATATTGTCACATTTAATCTTAAATGAGTTTTGGGTTTTGAACTTCAGGGAAACATGGGGCCGATGGGGGTAGGTGGAAAAGGAGAGTAGAAAACAAAACCAACTACCTTTTAATAAACGGGTGCTTTTGGTTTTTCACAGTGGGTATTAAATTTTTTAAAACTGAAGTCTGATTTTTAATTCAAGGAAAAATATAAGGGTAAATGAATTATGTTATTTCAAATACCTCTAAATACTCAACTTTTTCTTATGAATAGAGAACATTATTTATGATGTCTTTAATGTATTTTAAGGACATTTTTCTAATTTATTCTACTGCTGAATAAATAAATTAGAACAATAAAATTTCAGGAAAGACTATGATAAAAATCTGGTATTTATCACATCCTAAGGAGATATGGATTTGAGCTGTATATTTATTAAAATAAAGTTTATTTCTTAGGTGCTAATAGTCTTTATTTTTTAGAAGCTAAATTGTGGTTTCCTATGATAATCTTACTCCTTATTATATAACAATAATTCTTAACGTAAGTACCACCTTGCTGAAAATGCAAATTTCCAACTCCACCCAGACCTACTGAAGCAGAAGCTCCAGGAGTGGAACCCAGTGACCTACTTTAACAAGCCCTCCAGGAGATTCTATTTACTCTGAAGTTGGAGAATTACTGCTGTAAAGTAAAAAAATTCATTAAGCTAAATGTATTTAAATCCTATTGTTTCCATACTGAGAATAACTAGAATTGACAAGCCTGTAAGCAACACTTATATTTATGCAGGTAAGATTCAGAAAGGTTTTTCTTCCAGAAACAGAACCAAAAGACTAAATACAAATTACTTAAAAGCTAAAAGTTTCATTGCAATGTTGTTTGATCACTAAATACCCTATTTGCCACTACTCGGAGAAAAATATCATCTTTCCAAATGCCTAAAAATACCGTTTCTCTAAACAATAATTAAACTTTACAATCAAATGTCTGTGATCCTAAACAAATTTCATGAGGACCAAATAAAAATTAATATAGCCATATTTCATATCCATCTATATCTGTGGCACAGAACTCAACTTGTTTACAACTAGATAGGTTGACTTAATACCCAAACTAGCACTTGTTCCCAAATTCTCTATGTTCATGAATGCAAGCAGCACCCTCCCCAGACCTAAAAGACTAAGAATACCTAGAGGCCCATACAGGTCTATGTACCTTTATATAGCAAATGCCTATGTCAGATTATGGAAAATAATTGGCACACAAATGTTTATTGAATTAATCTGGAAGGCAAGAGATTCTATCTGCTCGTCTCCCTTATCAATTACCAATAAATACTGATTTTCTCTCCAAAATGACTACTGATTATATTCTTTCATTTCCACTCTCAAAGTCACCAACCTCACCCTGATCTTGCCCCCACTTCAGCTCTCCCCTCCTCTAATTTCACTCTCCCTGCTTCCCATATTCTGGGGATCCAGTATCATATCAATGTTAACTAAAATAGTGTATCGGGCCCGGCACAGTAATTCACGCCTGTAATCCCAGCACTTTGGGAGGCTGAGGCGGGCTGATCACCTGCAGTCAGGAGTTCGAGACCAGCCTGGGCAACAGGGCAAGACCCCCATTTCTAAAAAAAAAAAAAAAAAAAAATTAGCAGGATGTGCTGGCGTATGCCTGTAATCCAGGTACTTGGGAGGCTGAGGCAGGAGCGTCACTTGAACTCGGGAGGAGGAGGCTGCAGTGAGCCAAGATTGCACCACTTGCACTCCAGCCTGAAACCCTGTCTCAAAATAACATAACGTAAGGTAACGTAAGTAACATAACATAAAGTAACGTTAACGTAACATAACGTGTATCATGTCATTATTCTGCTCCAAAAACCTAAACAGGTACCAAACACCTAAAATGTCGTTTCACTGCTAACTTTCAAACTTTTTCACTTACATTGCCTCATTTGAGTCTCATAAATACCCAAACTAAAGTGTAAAGGTAATTTCAAAGTGTCTTACTACTCCTAGAAAAAGGTAAGTAACTTGACACTGACAATGTAAATTTACAAAGACTTACATGGACTGTGAACAATAACAAATGATAACACTGGCACTAGAGTAAAACAACAAACATCAGAGTACTGGACGGGGGTGAGAGTGGAACAGGGAATGTCTTTTTGGCACCCTCCCTGCAGGCATAGAGAGCTAAACAGTAACACTACCAAGGTGGCCTTGCTCAACCAGCACAAGGAGTTACAGGATGGGAGAAAGGGACTAGAGAAACTTTCTAAAGGCATGAGGCTCCTATCAGTTTACCCAGAATAGTCCAACAAGAATGAAAGAACATTTAAAAAGCTGTTTCTTTAATAGAGGTATTCTATGTTTGAGAAAATGTGAATACCAAACAAGTTACCTGAGCTCCCATTTATGTTGCACTTTCAAATAAAGACGTAAGATGACAAATTTTCACCAAGAAATGTGCAACTATAAATCACCACTTTAGGTTGTTAATTGTTCCATATTATAAAATACCCAGGCTACGTTAAGAGCGCGGAGCTATGAAATTAGATATCCTGTTCTGAGCAAGTTACTTAACGTTACTAAGCCTCAGATTCTACTCCTGTAAAACGGGTATAACAAGAATATTTTGAAATTTTAATTTGTTCTTTTCAATATATTTTAAATGCTCAGCACAACATCTAGTACACTGTAATCAATAATATGTCTAGCGTTTCTTAAGAAAGACTGTTTTGCTTGGAAATTATGTTCTATTTTTTCCAATCAAAACGGTAATTGTAAACGATAGCGATTTTTTGCACTTGATGTCCTTATTTGCCATAATTAAGATATTGCCCCAAATTAACTGAACATATTATTATTATATGAAATCTCAAAATCTAAGAATGACTCATTTAGGTGACTGGGAAAGGGTTATATGTAAAGATTTGATAGATAATCTGAAGATGAAGAATGTATACCATCATAAGCAATTGTATGGCCATGATTTAAAAGCCAGTAGGAAAAAAGGAAATTCAAATGTATTGGACACACAAATTTAAATAATTATTTTCTGTACAAAAGGACAGAGTACAGTTTCCAAAAATCTTAATATAAAAATAAGCATTCAAAATACTTTGCTTGTATAAATTGTGCTGTATTTTACTAAACTACATATTAAAAACTACAAAATGCCCACTACATATTAGTCATGCTTCCAAAGAGCTATGTGAAACTGGGTTTTTAAAAATTCATAATATTCCCACCTCAAAACTAGAAGATTCTGTCAGGAAAACTACTTGCGAAACATGGATTCATTTTTTAAAAATCAACTTTATGAGGGTTTACTTTAGATAGAATAAGACATCCACCCACATTTTAAATGCAGGGTTTGATGAGTTTTGACAAATACAATCCATATAACCACCACAAAAATCAAGACATCCCAAAAAGTTCCCTAGTAACCCTTTGCAGTTAGTCCTCCCTACCAAACTCCCAATCCCCACCCCGGGCAATCTGAACCCTACAGATCACTACAGCTTTATCACCATTCTTGAAATGAGGTACCTATTTGGGGAGAATTCACATCTTAACATTTTTTGAGTCATCTAAACCATAAACATCATGACATTTCTACATATATTTAGATCTTTTTAAGTTTCTCTCAGTATAAGTTCTGTAGTTTTCAGTGTAATGGTCTCATACATATTTTGATACCTTTATCCCTAAGTACTTCATAATTTTTAATGAACCAGTAATACTTTAAATTTTTTGTCATAATTGATAATATACAGAAACACAACTGACTTTGATATCTTGATCTTATATCCTACAGTCTTGCTAAGTTCTTTAGTATTTGTACATACACAGTTTTCTTACTCTCAAATTTATATGCTATTTATTTATTTAGAGATGGAGTCTTGCTCTGTCACCCAGGCTGGAGTGCAGTGGTGCAATCGGCTCACTGCAATCCCCACCTCCCGGGTTCAAGCAATTCTCCTGCCTCAGCTTCCCTAGCTAGGATTACAGGCGCACACCACTACGCCCAGCTAATTTTTGTATTTTTAGTAGACACGGGGTTTCACCAAGTTGGCCAGGCTAGTCTCGAACTCCTAACCTCAGGTAATGCGCCCCCCTTGGCCTTCCAAAGTGCTGGGATTACAGGCATGAGCGACCGTGCCTGGCCTGCCGTATATTTATTTATTTATTTTACTGCTTTACTGAACTAGCCAGGATTTTCTGTCTGCAAAATGTTGAATAGAATCAACGAGACTGGGCATCCTTGCCTTGTTCTTGATATTAAGGGAAAGGCATTATCTTACACTATCGAGTATAATAATGCTAGCTGTAGTTTCATAACTTTTATCAGGTTGAAAATGTTCCCTTCTATTCCTAGTTGGCTAACAATTTTATCACAAAAGGAGTTGAATTCTTTCAAATGCCTTCTCCAGATCTCTTAAGATGAACAGATTTTATTTTGTATTCTGTTACACTGATTTTCAAATGTAAGCACTTTGTAGAAACCCTACTTGGTCATGACACATGTACCATGATTTTTTTTCCTCACTCTTCATACATGTGTGTGTATGTATGTGTGTGTGTGTGTATATATTCAATTATATATTATATATATATAATTGAATGTGATTTTTTTTTTAGTTTAGAGATCACTAGTTATAAGAGAGATATAACAATCATTTGAAAGATTTCAGAACTTCATTATTTCAGAAATAATGAAAGAATTATTTCCATGATGAGAGATTTCAGTGGGATGGGCAGGTTGATGTTGATGCCATTTCCGTGACGATTTATTTCAGTCTACATACTTTCCAAGAATGTCTAAATAAGAAAAAATCCTTGTTGCTAGGCACGGTGGCAAGTACCTGTAGTCTCAGCTACTGAGGAGACTGAGGTGGGGTAAGATCACTTGAGGAAGAGTCTGAGACCAGCCTGGGCAAC